ACCTCCAGACGCCGGGCCCGGTGGAGATACTGCGCGGCGTGGGCCTCCCCCCGGCGCCTGCTGCCCGTCGGGGCTCTGCGCTGACACTTCCCCTTTATCTTCCCGCCGCTCTTCCCGTAAACAAACCCATTCCTACCCTGAGCCCCTTCCCCTCCGAGCTGTTGCCCCAGGGAGGCGCTGCCGAGCTTTGCGCCCGCCGAGACAGCACCTTCCCGGCCCCAACGCGGGAACCGTGTGTGGGCGGAGGGGGTCCTGGAGGTGACGGTCGAACTGCAGCGTCCCTCTTCCCCGGCACCGCCCACGAGGCGCCAGGCGTTCCGACACCGAAGATAGAAGTTGGCGCATCCCACGGTGCCAGGCCGTTTTGCGCACATTATCTTTCCGAACTCGCGAAACAGCCCATTTGACGCGCAGGGAACGAGCTTGGAGAAGTCCAGTGTTTTGCCCAGTGACGCAAGCCCTACGTCTCCGAGTCCCGTTACTTCCCCACCTCGTGCAGCCCTAAACTCAGGAACAGTTTCAGTATGAGGCGGCGAGCGGGGTGAGCTCTGCGGGGGTGAGGGTGCGCTGTGGGCGTGGGGACAGGATTGCGAAAACAACCGCAAAGCGTGCGGGGAAGCAAGAGCAGTCGCCTACGCAACTGTTTTCCTCCGCCGCCGACCTACTGTAAGCCTTCTTTCGGTCAGGGACTGTATGGCCAAAGCGAGCCTCGTAAAGGGGCCCTTATAAATAGTGGTAGAACTTTTTTTTTTTTTTTTTTTTAATTTTAAACATTATAAAATGTTTCAGTACACAGAAAAATTTTAGGAGTAAAATGAGCACTCACTACCCTCCATCTAAATTTAACAATGGGAATAAATAACGTGCGTAACACTTTATAGCTTATAAAGCCTCTTGCTTAAGTTGCCGTATTGCAAATGAAGCTCTCATTGGTGAGCTGGTTGGGGACCTATTCAGATCCCATTGCTGCACCACCTCAAGTCCTGGCCACCCACTGCACCCTACTTTGAGAAGCTGCCTTCCTCTCCTCCTGTTTCCATCCTGCTCAGGAGGTTGTAGGTTGCCCCAGAACTCAGTATGCCCTCAGCACAGTGACAAGTATGTTTTTCAGTGGGCAGTTCATTGCCTAAAATTCACTTGGAACTTGGTGAGCCCCTCGAAGTCTCAGAATTCTTCCTTAAAATTCAATATATTGGGGGTAAGGGAGAGTTGTGTCACAATGGGATCCATTATTTTCAACTCCAGATTAACACAGGGACTTTTCCACGATCTTCCCACCAGTTCTTTCCATTTTCTAAATAGCAGATGTATATTACATTTAAATACTACTTTATAGACATCCTCTATCATGATAGTTGGAGGGACAGGCCTGATAGCACCTTAGATGCAAAGCTAATTATGAAATACTTTTTTAAAAACTACCTTTTTTTCTTATTATAAAAAGTAACACATACTGATTTTAAAATTCTAAAATGATGAAAAAATGACTGTGGTAGAAAGTGAAACCCCTGATGACCAGGAATGGAGCCAAGGCTGGGGTGTCTCAGCTGTGCATTACTTAGGAATAAGAGCAGTTTGGACCCTTTGCAGCAGCTGTGTTGGATTTAGATTTATCATGTTGCCCCTAAATAAGGGCACACATACAGTCACAGAGGTACAAGAAGTAAGAGTTTGTCAACACTCTAATTGTTAAATCAAAGATTTAAAATGTATCCCAAGTCCTAGCCAGCTTGGCTCAGTGGTTAGAGCATGGGACCTCAGACTGAAGGGTCCCAGGTTCAGTTCTGGTCAAGGGTACGCAAGGGTTCCATCCCTGCCCCTGTTGTGTGCAGAAGGCAACCAATTGATGTGATCTTTTCACTCCTTCTGAAAAAGCAATGGAAAAAATATCCTCCAGTGAGGATTTAAAAAAAAAAAAAAGTAAAATGCATCCCCAAGAGCTATAATCCCATTTTCACATTTCTTCATTTTAAAAATTCACTGGAACCTGAAAAAATGGAAGTTTTGTGAGCCTCTCTTTACCTAGAAAGGCCTAGTGGTATCAAAACATCACTTTTCAAGAAGTCCCTCTCAGAATTGCCCATTGCAGATGTCACTGTAATTGCAAAAGAGCCTGCTGTGGACTGGAAAGCCCTGCTGCTTATCTAATTCTGTCATAGACGCTTTAGTCTCAGCTTAGAGGAGTTTCCTGGCCAGTCAAGACTGTCAGAGACCCAAGAAACATGAAGGACTCTGCAGTCATTACACAACTTCATCATTTTTGCATCAGCGGTGGGAGGTTGCCTGTGAGGCGACTGCAGTGCTGCTTTGCATAGTCTTGTACTGGTCCTGGTCCTAGAGATACCCCAGTCAACACCCTTCTGGCCCAACCTGAGAATTTCACATTCTTACATTTGCACCAGAAATGTGCATTTGGGTTCATCCATTTTTTAGGAAAAACTTTGGGTTGGGGGTAATTTTCTCAGCAGGACCCAGAGAACTGGATGTTGTCAGCTGTTAAACCAAAAGCACTGAATGCTTTGTAAAATATGAAGCACATGAGCCAATTGGAGAAAAAGAGAAATTCAATCAACAAGAACTCATTGAAGCCTCGATCTCAGGCTGGTCACACACCAGGCTGTTTGGTCAGCCAGGCACCAGAATGTTGTCACTGACCTGTGGGTATGGTCAGTAAGGCCCATTTTGAGTCTCACTGGCCAAGATGAAAAGGTGATATCCATAAAGTGATGCATAATAAAATAATAAATTATTATACAGAGAGACAATATTGCAAAATTGCTAATAGAGTGAGTTTGAATCCTGACTCTGAACAAGTCACTAAGCCACTAATCCTGTCTGTAAATGGGGTGATGAATCGTGCCCTGAAGGGATAGCTGCAGAAATTCTAGGAGATAATGGATATAAAGGAAGCTTAGCTTGGCACAGAGTAAGCATTACCAACAAATATCTGTAAACCAAAAATGTCATGAAAAAGACAAAGTTTAAACCAACATGTGGATTATAAGTGGCAATCTAAGTGATAGAAATATCACCATTTTTCATCCGCCATGTAGCAACTGACGTAGGAAAGGATCCTCAATGAATGCTAAAACCACGGGATGAAAGTTTGTGGGAAGAACAGACATTTCTGCACAATCAGGTTACTTATTAATAAAATTACAAAGAAAAATGTCCCTTTACAATAGAGAGATCTCAAGGATGCCTGAATGTACCCTCAGTCTAAAAATGAGGAAACAATCACACAAATCTAAATTGAGGAACATTCTGCTTAGAAGTGACTTTTCAAAAACAATGTCTTGAAAGAATAAAAAGAGAAAGAGCAGGGAAGTGCGAAAGTGGTCTAGATGGAAGGAGACTATAGAAACATGACAACCCAAACCAATTCATGATCTCTGATTGGCCCTGGATTTAAAAACAAAAACAAACCAAAAAAACCTGTCAAGGACATTATCAGGACAATTGAGGAAATTTGATTTAAAAATGTTAAATTTCCTGAGTGTAATGACTGTATTCTGATTATTCAAAATAATATACTTGTATCCTTGTTCTTAGTATTTAGGGCATCTTCAGTATTTGGAGTGATAGCTGATGTTTTTAATTAATTACAAAATGGTTTTAAAAAAGTGGTGCATGAATATGAGAAAGAGAGAGAAGAACAGCGTGAAATACTACGAAATGTAAACAGTTTGTGAATCCAAGTAAAAGGTTCACTATACGATGCTCTCAACTTTTCTGTAACTTGAAAATTTTCAAAACAAAAAGTTGGGGCTAAAGATCAGGGTATGAAGAAAAACAGAGCAGGTAAGCAAGGAAGAAGTGAGTTCACCCCATGTACAGGAAGCCAGGACAGAGTCAGTCCTGCAAACAAGCAAATTAGGATGGTGGTCCTGAGCAGGGCACGAGGAGGCCCTCATGTTGCTGGAACTGCATCAACAGGAGCGACACCAGGCCTTGTCTCCTGGCAGTGCCCTTCTGGCCTTGCCTGCCTTCTTGGGCAGGGAACCACAAAGCCTTCAGGGCTATATTTGCTGTCCCCCCTCACCCACCCTCCCCACCATTGGCTCTGGAGGGTCAATAAAGCCCCAAGAGTCTGGAGGAGAACAGTTGGCCAAAAGGGTGGACCCTCATCATGGTCCTCTCCAGCATGGGACCAGGGACTCTTTTCCCACCCCCTACCCCAAATCCTGGAAGTAGGAGAGAGGGAAGCATCTGAGTACCTGCCCAAAGATCCAGAGACTGGAATCCAATCCCAGAACCTCCCTCACAGACTTACCCACCACTCTACGGTCCAGCCCTTGGAGGTGAGAGCTGGGACCACATATGTGGAAAGGCATTGAGCCCTCCCAGCTGGAAAAGCCTCTGAATCTTCAAGAAAGGGAACACAAGCCATCAGTGACTCTCATAGCCTCAGTTCCCACCAAAGCACAAAGCATTTCCTGTGCCTTTTCCGTTATTTCACAAGCTGCCTCTTCTTACTCACCCTCTGGGCTCAAGGACAAAGGGCCTTTTCTCCTCCCCAAAGCCAGACAGCTGGCTCCGGCATCTCCTGGTCAACACCATGGCCAAGACCCCTAGTGACCACCTGTTGTACTCCCTGGAGGAGCTGGTGCCCTATGACTTTGAGAAGTTCAAGTTCAAGCTGCAAAACACCAGCCTGGAGAAGGAGCACCCCCGGATACCCCGAGGCCAGCTCCAGACAGCTAGGCCAGTGAAGGTGGCCGCTCTTCTACTCAGCCACTATGGGGAGAAGTCTGCCGTGCGGCTGACCCTGCAGGTCCTGAGGGCCATGAACCAGCACCTCCTGGCAGAGGAGCTCCACAGGGCGATTGGCCCAGGTAAGCGGACCCCATGTCCCCTTCTCTGCTGGCTGTTCATGAGATGGGGTGGAAGGTGCAAGAATGAGCATGTGTTCAGACCAGTGCTCTCTGGCTTGGGGGCTAGGAGTCCCAGGTCTACCATGACATTAGTGACTTTGGCCAAGCAAGTCCCTTTTCCTGCTCTGGTCTTTGGAGCTGGATTAGTAAAGCTAAGGCTCCCAATGGCTTAAAAAGGGCAGTGGCGGGGAGTGGGCAGCTGAGATTCTGACTCCGGGAAGGATCGGGAGATGCAGGAGCTAGATGCCTGTTCTTAGAGAATTACTCACGTCATTTCTCATTAACACTTGCGCACAGACAAGTATCTGGGTGAGCAAAAATGGCTTGCTAGCCAATCATATTAACAGGGTTGATAGGTAATCTTTTCATTGTTACCCACCTCATTTCAGTTTTGAGGGTTTAAAGAAAATTTTATTGATTGATTTTAGAGAGGAGAGAGAGAGAAATATCGATTTGTTGTTCCACCTATTTATGCATCGATTGGTTGTTTCTTGCACGTGCCCTGACTAGGGATCGAACCCTCAACCTTGGCGTATGGGGATAACACTCTAACCAACTGAGCTACCCGGCCAGGGCTTGAGTTCTTTAATTTTATTTATTTACTTATTCTTTTTCCCCATCACCAATTATCCCCCATACCCTTTTCCACCTGCACCTGCCCCCTTCCCTCCTGCAGCTGAGCTCTTCCCTAACGCGCTTTAAAGGGCATTTAAAGACTGTCAGGAGGCCTTTTTCTCCCCTCTTCCTTCCTCTTGTCCCTCCCTCCCTCTGTTTCCTTTCCTTCCTTTTTCTCTCTTCTTTCCTTTAATCTTTTCTTTTCTCCCTTCCTCCTTCTGGTTCTTCTGCTGTACTTTCCGATTTTGTTACATTGTGATCAAATAATGCGACCTATTTGATTTCTGCTTTTAAAGACTTTGAAGATTGGGGGGGGGGGTGCTAACACCTGGTCAGTTTTTAAAAAGAGTCTTTGGTGTTTGAATTTGTCTTCTATTTCCACACTTTAAGAATACATTAGAAATGCTTTTCATGTGTTTCTATGTGGTAGGATAGTTTAAATAACATAAAAATCTCTGCTCTTTGAGGGATAGAACGAAACCAATTATAATCCGAATCCAGAATAATTTGATGAATAGAATTTTTAAATTACTTTTTCACATTTTAAAATCCAGTTATTAGCATCTTCAAGGTTTCTCGCCAGCTCTTAAGTCAGTTTCAGTAACTTACGTTTTCCTACAAAACCAACAGCAAAGTGTTTTAAACAACTTTAAAGTAATTTTAATAAGAGCTACTTGGTGCTAATTACAGGTTATTTTCATTTCTTTATTAGAGTAGTCGTTTTCAAATTATATCCCAGGATGATATATCAGGGATTCTTTAGAATATTAGCAAATACTTTATTCAAATTTTATTAAAATTTTAACTAAAAAGACTAACATTCATATTAAAATGTATCAGTAACCAAATTTTAAAATACAGTGTGTACTTGATCTCCTTTTTATGTAAATCTTGGAACTAAGCCTTTCCTGTCATTTCCATTTTATTAAACAGTATCCTGAAACTTCCAGGCAAGCTGTTTTTTTTTTTCAAGTTGCCATTTACACTTACTTATCTGTGTGAGTTAGGATTTTCTTCACCTCATGAAACCAAAGGCAAAAACAGAAATGAATTACTTTGTGAAGTTTTAACTGTTTGAAGTTTTGAACTCATAACCCGATTTCAAAGTTGTGTGCCGATCAAACACCTTAATTCTTTTTTCCAGTTTTATTGAGAAATAATTGACCTACAGTACTGTGTAAGTTTAAGGCGTTCAGCATGATTTACATATATTGTGAAATGATTACCACATAGGTTCAGTCAACACTCATCTTCTCATATAGTAAAATGAGAACTCTTAGGATTTACTCCCTTAACAACTTTCCAATATGTCATATGGCAGCGTGGAAATTCTGTTCACCCTGTCTGGGGGCATGCCGCCTAGGACCCTCTTCAAATGAAATTACTCTCTTGAGTTTTTTGGACTACATGAATAATGTGAATTTGGGCTAAAGCATAAAAGAGAGCACTGTGCTGCCCTGGCCGGTTTGGCTCAGTGGTTAGAGCGTCAGCCAGCGGACTAAAGGGGGCCCAGGTTCAGTTCTGGCCAAGGGCACATGCCTTGGTTGCAGGCTTGACCCGAGCATCAATGTTTCCCTCTCCCTGCCTCCCCCCCCCCACTCTCTCTAAAAAGCAATGGAGGGAATATCCTCGGTAGAGGGTTACAAAAAAAAAAAGAGCCCTTGTGTTTATAAATCTTCTGTAGAGATTTCTTTTTCTACTCTATCTGATGTCAAGATCTACAGGTACACATCCTTGCTGTTTCCTTCTGTATAGAAGCTTTTCTTTAAAACCTTTAGATATGTATTTTCAAACATACTCAGGAGTAGAGGGTACTATGATGAAGCCTCTCTGTACCCATCGCCCACTTCAATGATTACCACTATTTTGCAATTATGAATACATCTATTCTTCCCCTTGCTTATGTAATTGAGTTTTGTTTTACTGGAGAATTTTATTTATTTATGTGTTTGTTTTTAATTGAAGTAACATTGGTTGCTAATATTATATAAATTTATGGGGTACATTATAATTTGGTATCTGTATACACTACAGCATGCTCACCACCAAAAGTCTAGTTTCCACCTAATTCTTTATTGATTGATTTTATAAGTGAATTTTTTACTGATTGATTTTATAATCACACACAAATTTATACCAGTAAAGTAGGGTTTTATTTAGTTTATGTATGAAGAATTCTGTTTTTGGAATTCTTCTGTTGGAAACTAATTCTCCTGCCTAAAATGTTTGAAAGCACTATTTGAAAAATATATAGCAAATAGTATGTTCTTATTTAATGATAATTGATTGCTATCATCTAGAATGTTCTGAACTCTAATTTCTGAGGGGATTCTTTCTTCTCTCTCTTCTCCCAGCCCTTGGCCCTAAGCACCTGACATTTTCATGTCTTTGCATCTCCTTGTCTTTTCAGAACGTCAGATACAAGAAAGTGACACTGACTGTCCAGCAATGTCTTGTTCTTCTGGGGAGAATAAGCCCAAGAACCTGAGGATACCGGATGGCCTGGAAGGCGACAGGCAACAGCAAAGTGGTGATGGGGCAGCCAGCCAGCCCGAGGCTGGGAAAGGGCCCCAGAAGAGGCCTCAGGGCAAACGGAGAGATCAGAAGGGCTCAGAGGGCCTGGATGTGCTCAGCAAGCCAGGGGCCAGGGGCGGGACTCTGTCGCCCAGGAGAAACCCATTCCCCAGCAAGGTGCAAGGGGTGAGTGTGAAGCTACGCAGGAATGCCAGCTCTGCAGGGAGGCTCCAAGGACTCTCCAGTGGGTCGTTTGCTGGATCCCCAGGAAGGAAAGAATGCAAGATATCTGAAGCATGTGCACCTTCAAAAAAAAATCGACCCAGAAGTCTTGAATTTACCATTTCCTCAGGAGAGAGAGAACCCCCCAATCCAGAAATTCTTTTGCTTCAAGAGAAAATGAGAAGTGAGAATCTGGATTTAGCAGCTACCCCCAGCAAAGTGGCCACTCTGGATGTAGGGGCTACTGTGGCTCCAGATAAAGGCTCCAGAAATCCAGAGAATTCTGTGATCCTGGATGGGGGAGCAGTCAGGAATATGCTTTCTAATGTATTGTTGGCTGGGGAGGAGAAGACCTGGGAGCATCCACAATCCACTGCACCCTCAGAGAAAAATGGAATTGAGGGTCCAGAGGCCCTTGAGACCTTGAAGGAGGTGGCAGGCAGTGTGCTCCATGAGTTTTCAAATCTAGAAGTCTCTCCATCTTCAGGTAAGAAAGGCCTCCAGAATCCAGAAGACCTGGTATCCTTAGGAATGGTGGCCTGTGCAGGTATTCCTCCACAGACCTTTTTTTATCTGCTACTATATTTATGCGACTGGGTCCCTGGGTGCCCCCTGAAGTCCCCAACCCTTTGAGAATCTGTTGGAGGCTGTGAATCCTGAAAAAATAATCAATATATGGACATCTTCACAAAATGTTGCATGAAATTTCAGTTAGTTCTTACACATTCTGAAGTCCTGTTTTAGAATTCCAAGGGCTTCATGGACCCTGGCTTGAGCATCTGGGAGAGACTGGGTAAAAATATTCCCTTCTCTCAGTAACCCCATGGCAGTATGTCATGGGGCTGAGAATCTGCCATTTGTCTCTCTCTGGGCAGGGAGGAGAGCTGTTGGCTAAAACCCTAGGTCTCTTTTACTAAGGAGGTTAGGATTATGTTGGGTTTTGTTAGAAACACCATAGTAACAGTAACTGAAACAAGACAGAAGTTTGTTCCTGTTTCACACAGATGATTCGCCCAGGGCAGATGTGGTACTCCATGGGCCAGGGGCCCAGGCTCCTGCTGTTTTTCTGTTCAAGTTTGCTTTCAAGCTCATGGTCTCAGATAGTGGCATCCTCATTCCAGGAAGCAGGATAGAGAGACAAAGGAGAATAGTATCACTTAGGGAAGGTTTCCAGAAGTTTCTAGAAGCTAGTCATGACACCTCCATTTACATCCCTTTAGCCAGAATGTAGTCAAATGGCCACAACCAAATGCAAAGGAAGGAAGTGAGAATGGTTATTGGGGGACTTCTTGCAGTCTCACTTACAGATATAAATTTCTGGGACGCTGTGAAAGGAGGAAGTGAAAGGTTACTAACGGATTGTGTTTCTATTTCTCCCTGGATCTCCTGTTATTTCTGCTTTATTATTTTTTAATTTTTTAAGTTTATTGATTTGGGGGGAGAGGGGGAGAGAGGGGGAGAGATTTGTTGTTCCACTTATTTATGCATTTTTATTTATTTATTGGTTGATTATGCATTTATGTGCCCTGACTGGGGATTGAACCCACAACCTTGGCATATTGGGACGATGCTGCAACCAACTGAGCTACCCGGCCAGGGCCCATCATTTCTGCTTTGTGAAGCTGTGCTATGGTCTTGGGGCAGAGCTAGTTATAGCTATATGTTGTCATGGCAGATTATACCCGTTAGCCTTATAAAGTCCCCTTCTTTACTTTCACTTAATGCTTCCTGAACCTGGGTGTGAAAGGTAGTCCAGCCCTGGCTGGTGTTGCTCAGTGGTTAGAGCGTTGGCCTGCACACCGAAGGGTCGTGATTTTTTTTTTTTTTAATATATCTTTATTGATTTCAGAGTGTGGAAGGGAGACGGAGAGAGAGAGATAGAAACATCAATGATGAGAGAGGATGGGGATGGAGCCCACAACCCGGGCATGTGCCCTGACCGGGAATCGAACCCTGATCACCTTGATCCCAGGTCAACGCTCAACCCCTGAGCCACGCCCAGCCGGGCCCAAAGGGTCGTGATTTTGATTCCCAGTCAAAAGCATGTACCTGGGTTGTAGGTTCCAACCCTGGCCCAGGTCAGGGCGTGTGTGGGAGGCAACCAATCGATGTGCCTCTCTCACATCAATGTTCCTCCCTCTCTCATCGATATGCTTCTCTCTCTCCCTCCCACCATCTTTAAAAATATCCTTGAGTGAGAATTAACAACAAAAAAAGGTAGTCCATTTGTTCCTTTATTCAACACATACTTCCCAAAGGCTCACCATGAGCCATGGACTCTGCAGGGGCTGAGTGTCTGGCTATGAGCTAGTCAATGTCTCCCAGAAGTTCCTACAAAAGTAATGAGCAGCCTGGGTGGTTTTAAGTGGTAAAGCAAACACTAGTCAAAATGTCTTGCTGTCTTTATATCAACTGCTAGATCAGTGTATGTGTGGCAGGAAGGCATAGAATTTACAGCAAAAGGCCTTTCTTTAGGATAAGTGCCCAAGAATTCCAGGTCTCATGAGATCTAGCCCTTAGCTGTCAGTCCCAGGGACTTGTCTGCTTGCCTTGCTAGAGGGGAATTGGAGGGGGGCAAGCTAGGAAGTGGCCACAGTCTAATGGAGAACTCACGTGTCCCAGGCGTGGGCTCTTTCTCTGCTGTGCTTTTGCATCACCCCTTGGTAACATCTTGGTTTTGTCACTCAGGAGATTTTTCCACTGCTATGTCCCCAGGTAGGCTGCAGGATGAAGTGTGTCCCCTCTGCCGGGCCCAGGAAGGAGATCCAGTTGGTGGCACTTGTGTGCATACCTGCAGTGCCTCCGTTGCTTCTAGGCATCCCAAGGCCTCAGGTGATTGCTTGCCCAACTGCCTCAGGTGCCAGGTCTCACTCCCAGGGAAGAGCTCTGGAGGCCTTGAACGGCAGGAGGGCCGGCAGGTGGCCAGCCTGAGCCCAAATCCCCTGCCGCAATGTGAGCGTCACATGAAGCAGGTCCAGCTGCTCTTCTGCGAGGACCATGGGGAGCCTATCTGCCTCATCTGCAGCCTGAGTCAGGAGCACCGAGGCCACCGGGTGCGCCCCATCGAGGAAGCTGCCCTAGACTACAAGGTAGGGCTTCCTGCCTGGGGCCCTTCTCTGCTGAGTACGTGGACGTGTGGGAGCTTGCTTCATTTTCCCAATGACACTAGAAGTTGGTGCACTAGCCACCATTCTTGAGCTGCAAATGGCAAAAACACAATACAAACCAGGACAGCAAAGACAAAAGTTACCAGTTCATGCAGCTCAGAGGTCCACGGGCCTCGCTTCAGGTGTGGCTGAACCCAGGTGCTCACAGGAGGTCATTAGGAATTTCTCTTTCTTGCCTCTGCTTCCCGTGGTGGGATGGATTCATTCTTTCTCTTTCCTGGGCATCCCTCCCTTTGCTCTTCGCCGCAGCACCCTCAGCTTTACTCCCTGAAGCAGATGTTCGCCTCTAAAGCTGGCACCAATTAAAGATAGCAGGAGCCAAGTTTAAGTTTCAACAAGTGCTCTTTGTCCAGGAGCAAATTCGGAAGCAGCTGGAGCATCTGAAGGAGTTGAGAAGATTTGGAGAAGAGCAGAGATCTCAGGGGGATAAGAACACTGAGAAGTACCTGGTAAGGCCAAGGGCGATCTATGGCCAGTCCTTACCTGGGTGCACCCCTGCAGGAGGGAGGGGTGGAGAGTAAACGGGTCCCCGAGGTTCTGTTCTGGTTCATAGGGAAGCAAAGCTGATCATATATTTAGAATTACCTGCT